GATAAAATAATTAGCTCATTTCTGAGATTTTTTGGGACGTAAAACCTTGATAAGCTAAGTTCGTTGATTTACAATGAGGGACCGCAGTTGTCGTTCTTGCTATACAGTAGGGCTCCAATTTTGCTGATCTTGTCATTAAAAGGAGTTATTCACTATAGGAAATATTTCCTTCATGCAGGATTTTGGCAATTTTTCTTTTTCGTGCTTGCCGTTTTTTCGCGCTTCTCACTTGACAATTGAGTTGTAGGCTACTTTCCTTAGAGTTTATATATTCATAAAAATAGGAAAACCCTAACTTTTGACCTGCATTTTCGCCTGCCGCTCACTAATGCGCCGAGGAGCAAACTTTGTTGGTGATGTACGATCAATAGTTGCTGTAAACGCTTATAGCAAAACAAAATTCCCCCTTGTGCCTTTAGAGGAGATAAATAAGCTTTGAGTAAACCGAATATAATTTTGGCCACCTCTGTTTGACTCATCATTCGCTCAGCTTTTGAAAGGCAGAGATTATAATAAATAGAGCGCATCTGTTTACTTTTGGATATTGTGTTTCACTAAAAGTCGTGACATAAGGGGAAGAGGTAACCTTGGGCTGTGTGATCCTTGATCGCCAAATTTGCCAGCGTCGTATTGTAAATTGCAGAGATAATCTAAACATAGAGACGTGTTATTTTGTTGATTACAAATCGATGAATGGCCTCGTTCTCAAAGGAAGGCTGTAAACTTAGAACTCACCTTTTTTCGGACAGCAGAGTTCGTTCTCACATTGATAGCCTTTGGGACACTCTTTGCAAGAAAGAGGTTTCGAAAGCGATGTGGCTCCAGCAGCAAAAGCGCCAGATTTGCACACAGCTAGAATTCACTTCATTAACAGCTGATTTTCGGTGACTGGTTTAACAGATGGTTCATTCCAATTCTAAACTAAAGAACCAATTTCATGTATCGTTTTTTCACTCACCATGCAAAGCAGTAGCGGATTCAGATTTCACCTTGGAGCACTTTTTCTGACATTCCTCGCGACTTTTAAATTTGTTGTCATTGCCTTCGCAGCCCTAAGAGATGAATAAATTTCAATCAAACAAGCCACCAATGAGATAAGTACTAACCTTGTAATAAAATGGCTGACATCTCTTCGTATGACTATCAAAATAGAATCTCTGCCCTCCTTCTTCTCCACAACTTTTGCCCGCGTCCTTTCCTAAACTGGTCTCATTTTGTTTATTTTGTTTCCTTCTAGGACTTTCTATGTTGTTGC